AATCGAACCTGGGACTTTTCAGTCTGCAGGCCGACGCTCTATCCACTGAGCCAAACCAGTCAGGGCAATCAGCATTTTAAATAAAAATGGAATTTGACCCCACACTTGCACAAATTTGCCTCACTTGCCTCACCCTAATTCCAGCCCTAGTGACATCAAGACACATTACCTGTAAATACTTCAGGACAAATCTCTTAGGAATAAGGTCATTCTCCTACATAACCACACACACACCTTTAAAAACTAATAATCATTATTTAACATCTTTGAATAGGCATCCCTAATTTTCCTAATAAGCCCTAAAACATATGTTATAGCTGTTCCTTTCCAACTGGGACCCAATCAAGATTAGCTCATGCATTGTATTTAGTTGTTTTGTCTCTTATATTCTAGAGCTGGAGTCAGCAAACCACAGCCTGTGAGCCTGCCGCCTGTTTTTGTGAATAAAGTTTTATTGGAACATGGCCATGTGCATCATTTACATAGTGCCTGTGGCGACTTTCATGCTACAGTGACAGAAAATGTATGACCCAAAGCCAAAAATATTTGCCATCTGGCCCTTTACAGGAAAGTGTGCAAAGACCAAGCCTGGTCTTAGACTTGATTAGATTCAGGGTAAATATTTTTAAAATAGACTTTTTCTTTTAGAGTAGTTTTAGGTTCATAGCAAAATTGATTGTAAGGTACAGAGAGGTTTCCCATATGCACCTGCCCCAATACATGGATAATTCCCCTCATGATCAGCATCCCCCACCAGAGTGATAAGATTGATGAACCTACAATGACACATCATTATCACACGATAAACATTTTTGACAAGATTACTTTATCAGAGTATTAGTTACTTATTGCTGTACTAGAGGCCCAGTGCACGAAATTCGTGCATGGGTAGGGTTCCTAGCGGCTGCCGGCTGCCGGCTGGAGCCTCCCTTCTCCCGGCTGCCTGCTGCCACCGCCGGCTGGGTCCTCCCTTCACACCTGCCTTGGCCTGGTGCCGGCTGCACCATCCCACTGTATTCCCACTCTCATCAGGGTCCATTGGGGCCAGCGGCACCTCCACTGCTGCCCGCTGCCAGCGCCATGTCGCTGACGCCCACCATATTCCGCGCTGCCCCCTGGTGGTCAGTGCATGTCTAACTCCCGGTCGGTCAAACTCCCACCCATGGGGACAATTTGCATATTAGCCTTTTATTATATAGGATAACAAGTTACCATAAATCTGGCAGCTGAAAATAACAGCCATTTATTATCTCACAGTTTCTGTGGGTCAGGAGTCTGGGTGCACTATGGTTGGGTTCTCTGTGGGAGCTCATGGAGAAGCCCAGAGCCCTCTTCTACACTCGTTCAGTTTGTTGGCAGCATTGAGTTCCTCGTAGCTCTAGGCCTGGGGACCTCAGCTCCCAGAGGCTGTCCCTCTCCCTAGGCAGTTCACAGGCTGGTTTCTCCTTCAAGGCCAGCAGGGACACACCGGCTTGCTGCTTTAAGACTCTGCCTCTAGACTGTCTTTTAAAGGGTGCCCCTGATTAGGTCAGGCCCACCCAACATAATCTCCCTTCTGATAAACTAACTCCCCATCAACTCATTTGAGACTGTAAATACACCTGCAAAATCCCTTCGCCTTTGCCATGGTGGCATAGCCTAATTTCAGGAGTGGCATGCATTGTCCTCCCAGGTCCCACTCACCCTCCAGGACGGGGGATTTGGCAGGTACCAGGGTGCGCACAGCAGGGCCGAGAATCCCGGTGTCCAAATTGGAATTCTGCCACAACACGTGATTCTGGACTTTAGAGATTTGGGTCATAAAGTCTGCCACCTGGGAAGACTTAGATTAAAACAGGACCTTTTGATCTTGTCTTTTTTTAAAAAATATTTTTATAGATTTCAGAGAGGAAGGGAGAGGGAGAGAGAGATAGAAACATCAATGATAAGAGAGAATCATTGATCGGCTGCCTCCTGCACACCTCACACTGGGGATTGAGCCTGCAACCTGGGCATGTGCCTCTGACCAGAATCGAACCCAGACCCTTTAGTTCCCAGGCTGACGCTCTATTCACTGAGCCAAACCAGCCAGGGTTGATCTTGTCTTCTTAACCTCGCCAAAATACTGTCTAAGAAAAGACCTACTTAAGAATCTTACCTTAATGTTAAATTTTACAACATGTAAGGAAATTTGTGTTCCAAAGCTGGTCTATCTAAACTGTCAACTCTAAGGTTTTCAACTTAATCTGTGTAGATGAAAATGGTAAAAAATATATATATATATTTAGTTTGGAAACTTGTTATGCTTTCTAAAAATAAGAATGACAAGATGTATGTGTACCATTGTCCACATGTTGACACATGCACATACACATACACATACAGGTTCTGGAATAGCATGGGGGGCAGGAAATATTGCTGTGACCATTATGGGAAAATACCTCCTGCTACCCAAGGCACTTAACCTAATCTAGTGGGGGTTGAGGAAGGCTTCTTGGAGGAGGTGGCATTCTAGCTGAGTTCTGAAGGATGTATGCATGCACCAACACACACACACACACACACACACACACACACACACACGCCCCTAAGGTGGAATTGGCCTGTGATTGCCTATTCTCCAAATAAGTGAGCGCTTCCTCTGACCATATGTGAGCTATGAAAAGAATGGAAAACGAAAAGAGATCCTTAAAATTTGAATAGGATCGCAATCCTTGGAGGCAGGGAGTATTGTGTGAGGACTCTGTCAGCATGTCAGAAGCTTATACATGCCGTTGGTTCTCCAGGACAGTGACTTGGTAATAGATTGCCAGGTGGCATTGGTGTGAAAAGGACTATCGGGGCATCTGGTGGCCCAGTCCACCTTAGCTGCTGTTCCTACAGGAATGTGCTGAAACCGTGCGGAATTCCTTTCTGGGCTGGGAGCCATGGGCTGCTTCCTTCGCCCTCAGCCCGACTTCCACCCAGCACCATATCCTCTGTGTTTTACCTTCTAAATAGCACTCCTTTCCACACCTTCCTCTCCACCTTCACTGCTCCCATCCTGGTCTAAGCCACCATCGTCCTTTGCCTAAGGCAGGGGTGGGGAACCTTTTTTTCTGCCCAGGGGCATTTGGGTATTTTTAACATCATTCTCAGGCCATACAAAATCATCAACTTAAAAATCGGCCTGCTATATTTGGTCAAACATTTAATTAATTTACCCCTAATGCCTTGGCTGGGCCAGACCAAATGATTTCACGGGCCTTATAGGGCCCTCAGGCCTGGTGTTCCCCACCCCTGGCTAAAGGATGAAACAGCCTCTTTGCATTCACCCTCGAATCCCCTCCAATCACTTCCCTGCAGAGCAGCCAGAGTCCTTTGCTTCCAAATTCAAAGCTGCTCAAACACCTCTTTGCATAAGTTCCATGCACAATTTCTACCAGTGTGACATGCCAAAACCAAAATTCTTAACTCATCCCATCAGGATAAGTGGTCTGCCCCCTCTGGCCTCTCCACACTTATCCTGCAGTCCCAAAACATCGGGTTTTTTTTTTTGTTGTTGTTGTTTTTTGGTGTTTTTTTTTAGTTCAAATGTGCCGCATTTCTTCCCATCGTTTGTTTTTTTTTTAGTTCAAATGTGCCGCATTTCTTCCCATCTCAGGGCTTTGCACAGCTGTTCCCTCTGCCTTCATGGTGAATGCCTACATCTTCAGAAGCTAGC